GTTTTTTCAGTCCATCGGTTCCCCACTTTTTGGCGTCTTTTTGCCGATATGTGTTCATTCGCTGTGTGAATTGTACTCATTAGATTTACTGCCTTGCGGTCTTTCCACTGGAGAAACAAGATGTTTCCATCCCTGACCCACCGAATGTCCCCCCGCTCAGCCTTCCTTTCCCATTTTGTTTCTTTCAGATCGCCAGGGAAGCCTCGGCGATCTTTTCTTGTCGTTCCACATGCCAGCGTTTTGCATTGCAGGAGATGTTCAAATAGGTGCTTTGAGGTATAAAAATTGTCCATGTAAATTTTGTACCCTTGTTCCAAGTATTTTTCACAAAGTTTACTGACAACATCAAAAGCCAACCCATGTGGTCCTGGTGTCTCCCTCTTACCTGTGTAGACAAAGAACTGTAAAGTGTACCCTGTTTCAGATTCAGCTAAAACCCACAATTTGTAACCCCACTTCGTCACCTTATCACGAATATATTGCCTCATTCCCGATCTTGCTTTCGATTTCACCATCCTTTCATCTACTGCAATGGTTTCCCGTGGCTGGAAAAATCGTGCTGACACCTCATTGATATGTTGAAGCAGTGGCCACACCTTCCGCAGTTTTCCGGCTGATGCAGTACTCTGATCCTCCGGATCAGAGACGTGCAAGAAAGCGAGGAGAGAAAAGAAACGCTTCCTACTCATGATTTGCGCTGGAAGGAGACCACCGTATATTGACCCAGTGTTCCAGTACATATGAAGGCGTGGCACTTGCACGATACCCATGTAAATGAGGAGTGCAATGAACCGCAACATCTCCGGCGGCGTGACCTCAAGCCAAGAGCCGTCTGCTTCTGAGTAGCTGGGTTTTTCGAAAATTTTCATCCAAGCGTACTTGTTGGTGTACTGACAGATAGTTGAGACCAATTCAGCAGTGAAAAACATCATAAACATGTCCAGTGCGCGTATAAAACTTCGCGTCTCGCTCCGGCGCGTCACATCCAGGTGTACGCCAGGTGTTCGTTTAGGTAAGAACTTGACTCTGCATGCTGCATTCGGCAGAATATCGCCTCCATAGGTAGTTGACACCCTAGTAAGAAAACGTAAACAAGTGTCACTTACAAAACACGCTCACGTTATAAAAACAACATTGACATCCGGACCTACGCTTACTTTGACACACGGGTTGAAGGTCCGGGCTGTGGAGATGAATCATCGCTGTCAGAGTCTAAATCTGATGATCCAACTTCTTCTTCAGAGTGCTCGCTACAGCTCAAATCAAGATCATGAGCAGTAGAGGCAGTGGAATCAAGTTTCCAAAGTTTCTTCTTCAGCAGCGGGCGATGCGCTTTCGGAGCCATGTTGCGAAACACGACGCTACCTCCTCCGTTGTCTGTTTTTTCTTGCGCGGGAGCTCCCACCGATAGAGCGAAACAAAAAAGAAGTAGTGTAGAGTAGTTCTTATATTTCCGGCCAGATGGCGCTAAAAGTCCGCGAGCGCGCATTTCTGTTTTTGGCGGGGCTTTTAAAACCATCGATCCATAGTGATCGATGCTCTATGGGTCGGTAAGGAAAGAGTTAAGGCGACATTAGAGTACTATTAACCAAAGGACCAGGCAGGAGTTTTTACAGGCTGCTCCACGATAGACCATATTCGTATTATCAATCAGGTAATAGAGAAATGGGTGAAATACAACCAACCCTTTACATAGCTTATATACATTACGAGACGGCGTTTGACTCAGTCAAGGCACAAGCATTAATACAAGCACTACGGAATCAGGGCGTCGTTGAAGCCTATATAAACATACTGGAAGAAGTATACAGTGGATCCACAGCCACTATAGTCCTTCATGAAAAAGCGATAGAATCCCAATTAAGAAAGGTGTAATGCAGAGAGACATGATCACTTCAATGCTATTCACCTGGTATTTACAGGAGGTTTTCAGGGCCCTAGATTGGGAAGAGTTAGGGATAAGAGTTAATGGAGAGTATCTGATCATCCTGCGATTTGCTAATGACATTGCATTGATGAAGAACTTAGGGGATGAATCACAGCTCATTATTACTGAAGTGGACTCTGAAAGCAGTAGAGTAGGTCTGAAAATTAAAAATTAAATATGCACAAAACTAAAGTTATGTACAACACTCCCGCAAAAAAACAGCACTTTGCAATAGGTGGAGAGACGCTGGAAGTTGTAAAGGAATATGTCTACTTAGAACAGATAGAAACCGTGGAGCTGAATCATGAGAGTCAAATAATTAGAAGAATAAGGATGAGATAGAGCACATTTGGCTAGCATCCTCAAATCATGATTGACTGTCTACAACTATTCCTGAAGAGGAAGGTGTATATAACAGGTGCATCGTACAGGTACTTACTGACGAAGCAGAAACCTGGAGGCTTAAACAGAGCTTTAACTTAAATTGAAGATGATGCAGCGAGTGATAGAAAAAAAAATGATGTGGTTAATGTTAAGCGACAGGAAGAGAGCAAAGTGGATCAGGGAACAAACAGGGGTTAGGGATATCCTTGTGGAAATCACAAAGAAATAAAGATGGGCTGGGCACGTGGTGTGTCCCCAGGAAAATCGCTGGTCCTCAAAGGGGTACTTACACAAAAATTTTGGCCTCGTGTTTTTTTTTTTTTGCTAAAATGTGTTAATGGGACCCTCTTAGTCATAGCACAACACATTATTTGCCTCAGCATGGGACAGATGATTAATTACAGGCTCCTTATAATCGACCAGTTTCAGTTTCGGTTACACCCCTAGCAGTGACAAGCAACTGCTAGAGGAACAACTATCAGCATCTAGCATGAGCAGCCATTGACCACATCAGCACACAGAACCTTGATGCAGTTCCACATGGTATGCATCAAAAAGTCCTTTCGAACAGGAAATGAGACTGCAGTGTCACCAAACACAAAACTTTCAGCACATGCGCCGCAGCCATGGACTCGCGTGTAGTTGAGACTGCTGAAGGAAAATGCTGCAAAAAAGAAATGGTGGCTGTTACGCCATCATAACTGGTTTTTTGACTACTGTAGCAAAGTGACATGAGGGAAGTAAGGGAGGCCATGGGGTCACTTTTAGATAATGTCAACACCTTCGAAATTAAAACTTCAAAGTTCCTGTAAACTACCTTACGAGCTATATTTTCTGTTGATATTTTGAAGATTATATACACACATTCACAGGAATTGATCCTGCAGGCTATCTCGGCAGGAAAATTTTGTGCCAGTACCCCTTTAACGGTAACTGACTGGATTCCAAGAGAAGGCAAACGCGTGAGAAAGAGACAGAAAATTAGGTGGGAAGATGAGATAAAAAAGTTTGCAGATATAACGTGGAAGCAGAAAGACAGGGCTGGGTTGATTGGTGTAACATGGGAGACCCTTAGCCCTACAGTGGGCGTTAGGCTTATGATGATGATAAGGGGGAAGAATCACTCTCGTGCGTGCATACCACTATTTTCTGCACGTGTTGTGTGTTTGACTTCATTGGTGCTGCAGCTAGAAAAAGTCTGATGAATACATGTTGCATGGCATTTTTTGAGTTAGGTTTAGACATTTTGATTGGTAATCTTTTTGTTGCACTAAAGAAAATGGGGAACATAAAGTTGGTTGTCAGTTGTAAGTGCTGTGCTAAACAAAAACTACAGAGGTATTAGTGCCATACCAGCAGACATGCTGCAGTAAAGCTATTGTCAGTGCACAGCAACCTGAAAGTGAAATCTTTTTGAGATAGTATTCACTCTGTATGTGCATTTGTGCACTAGGGTTGCCATTGCACAGCTTGGGGAATGATTCACCCTAAGCATGGCTCTGACAATCTACTATGAAGCGACTTTTGTGACTTGATCATGTGTGGAATAGCCATTAGATTACAATGTACCCTGTAGTACAAACTTAGAAATAAAAAAAAGCTATAAAGTGTTTGGCAGTGGAGGTAAAAAGACACAAGGAGCATTCCCAACTGAGTGAGCATGTGTACACTTCCACAACAAAGTCTCCCATATGACATTACATGTAACAAAACACCACTACAACTGCCCAGAGCTCTCTCTCTCTCTCTCTCTCTCTCTCTCTCTATATATATATATATATATATATATATATATATATATATATATATATATATATATATATATATATATATATATATATATAGACATAGTGACGTAGAAAATTTGTTTTAGGCAAAGTTGAAATTATACTGTAGACTCATTCATTCAGGAGCAGAGGGTATGCAAATAAACAGCTGCGGCAACGATTGAGCTCTAATGTTACATCGCCGAGTGTCTGGCTTCATACAAACTCGTGCATCAAGCGAATAACCTCTCTCACAGAAATTCGAGCTTTCAACATAATTTGAACCTTGCCTCCCTTTGTGGTTTTGAGGTTAAATTAAGTTACTTTGTGGAAACCATTTTAGGTTTCCCACCTATGGCCGCATGTTTAGGTTCAGAGAGACGTTACAGTGAAAAATGTACTTACGTTGACTGCGCTCATCTGTCTCGTTTTGTTGCTTCTTTGTGTCCTGTCTGCTGCGCAGTTCGCTAGAAGATGAATTCTTACCAACTCACTCACTTTTCAATGCTTGTTATGCTGACTGCATCTTTTGGAAATGGTTGCTAAAAACAGCATTTTTTGCAAGTACTAGTGAACGCTTTGTTTAAACTAATTTTTGAAGTGCTTGGGATTGGCACACTTTTTTTGTATTAGTGCTTGTTTTTACAGAAGTTTTTAATATATATTGCAGATTATTCCACAACTAAATACATGTTTTTATAATTGCACAGTGTATCATATATGTGTGTAAGTGTGTGTGTGTGTTTGCGCATGGATGTGCGTGTGTAGCAATTTTTATAGGGTGAGAGCCTTTTGAACAATTGAAGTTTAGATAGTTTATTTAGATTTTGTCTGAAGGAAGTAAGGTTTTATAAGATTTTATGTAGTGCAAGTTGGAAAGAGGAGTTGTGACCAAAGTAAATGTTTTTACATTTGTTTTTCAGATGTGTATTGATGAGTTCCATCATGCAATCTTAAAGCTTCTCGAGGACCGGGATTCAGAGATGAAAGAAGTATTGAAGGCCCGTAAGAACGTTTTCACAAAATGAGCTTTTAGAGGGGGAAAATTGTAGGACACTTGAGCTTTGCTTTCAAGAGAAGATCGCGTTAGTGAAATTGGACCTCGTGCGCATCTCCTTCTAAACTGGTAGCCTGCTTCAGTTCTCAGTGCATACCTCAACCATAATTGTATGGAAACAAACGACTGTGCATAACATTGGCCGTTTCAAAGCATTATTGATTGCCTATTGCAAGCACATCGATTAAGTTCCCATGACAGCATAATTATTCCTTTTAGGGGTGAAGCTCCTTAGGGCGTGGGCTGTGCCTCTCCTGTAGCCTGTATGTAGCCACCTCTAGTTTAGTTCTTGCAGTGTTCACTAGATGGCGGTACCGTCCCCTGTATGTAGCCACCTCTAGTTTAGTTCTTGCAGTGTTCACTAGATGGCGGTACCATCTCCTGTATGTAGCCACCTCTCGTTTAGTTCTTGTAGTGTTTACTAGATGGTGGTACTTGTAGCTGATGATGAAAAGATGCAAGATGTTATAAACTAGAAAGCGGTACTTGTAGTTGATGAAAGACGCGAGATCTTATAAAATAGGAATGATGTCACATATGGCGCGTGTCATTGGTTGAAGGCAATCGTTCGATTTAGTGCGGCGACGTACGCTAGGGGGAGCGTTGTAATAAAATCCGTTCGCTGTTGGCGCGCGCTCGGAGTCGCCGGATGGATAAGGCTGCACAGCGGAGAGAGCGCAAGGCGGCAGCAGCTCGCGCTCGCAGACAGAATCCCGATGTGCGAGCGCGCGAGGCAAGGGACATCGCAAGCCATCCATCGTCTAAGAACAAATAAAAGTTGATTTGTGTATATACACACACAGCGTTTCTCACGTCTTTACATGATGATCGACTGGGCGAATTACACGGAAGATTCACAGTTTACCGATGAATCCCTCCGGAGCTTCGCCCATTCATCATCATTCACCTCGTGAATATGCCGTAATTTTTTTGTGAATGAGTGAAGGGCCCGGTACACACGTCCGTAAAGTAACACGGGAACCTACCCAGGTGTTCACTTTGTTGATGGTTGTTCTGGTGATGATGATTGAATACGTGTGAGTGCTTTGCAACGAGTCGGTCTTTCAAACACCCACTTGTTGCTCAATTCACATCTTTTGATCGCTGGTGCGATTCTAAGCTTTCGCCACGCAATATATTGCCGCGACAGGTTGGCCACGTTCAAGTAGCCCGCCGCAATCATCCTGGCAAGAGCACAAGCAAGACCCGGCTGGCATGCGCCACGCGTTCGTGCGCTCGGGCAACGAAGAAGATAGTTGGATCTGTGCCACTCGGCTACTCGGACTTGACGACCATAGTCTTTAGAATTGTGGGCACAAGTTCGCCCTAATAAATACGCTTGTTTTTAACCTGTCTGCCTCAGCATCGCTACATTTCTGGTGGAGGTGCTGGGTATGAATCGAAGCCCCGCGAGCTCAAGACAGCGTAGCCCCGACGACCAGCGTATCAACCCCGTGGAAGTGACTCCTGTACACCAGAGGGCAAGTCGCCGTCTTCGAGGTGACTCACCTGAGTTCGGTCATCTTCACTTCACACCAAGGGGAATTCAAACGATGGATGCCACCACTATGACTACCCAGGTAACACCGGCACAAGTGTTCATTAGCCAACCGCACCAGCCGCCAGTATTCCACGGCGACTCGTACGAGGATGTTGAAGATTGGTTGGACCTGTTCGAGAGAGTGGCGAGCTTGAATGGATGGGACGAAAGAGAAGCTCCGTCGCGTATACTTCGCCCTGGAAGACTTCGCAAAGACATGGTTTGAGAACCATGAAACCTCGTTGTCTACCTGGGAGGTATTTCGTCCACAAGCGATGGCTACGTTCGCGAACATAGACCGGAAAGAAAAGGCGGAGGCTGCTCTTCAATCGAGGAACCAGCTCACGAACGAGAGTGCTGCTATGTACAATGAGGACATGGTCCGTCTGTTCAAGCGTGCGGATTACAACATGGCTGAAGATAAGAAGGTGTGCTATCTAATGCGCGGAGTGAAGCAAGAGCTGTTCGCCGTTCTCGTCCGCAACCCTCCAAGCACAGTTGCTGAGTTTTACTCGGAAGCGACAGCCATCGAAAAAAGCACTGGAATAGCGGGCTCGGCAGTACAACCGGAATCTTAACTGCGCATCTGCACAGGTATTTTCCGGAAGCGTGCGAAACGACCATGAAGCACTGCGAGAGCTCATTAGATCAGTTGTTAGAGAAGAACTGAGCAGACTGCAAATGCCCCAGACTCCAACTGCACTATTCATTACGAACGTTGTTCGTGACAAACCGAGGCAGGTGATACGAGAGCCAGAGCGTGAGCTGCAGCCGGTTCGACCTATCCGAACATACTCTGAGGTTGTCAGACAACCCACCGTACACAGCAGTGCAGCAGTTGCGATGGCGACGACTGCTTTCCCACCTGCGGCACGCAGCGCACCTCGTCCACGGGAACCAACAGCTACCTATCTGCCCCCAGGAGCACGTAGCACACATCACTATGTGGATCGTAGGCCCAGGAAAAATGACGTCTGGCGTGATCACGAGCGCAGGCCTCTGTGTTTTCATTGTGGGGAAGCGGGTCATCTGTACAGATTCTGTCCTTACCGACAGGGGCTGGATTAAGAGGCTTCCCGTCGTATGCACTGTGCCCCCGAAACGGCGAACGACCAGCGGAGATTGAGGAGTACTTGTCCACGTGCCAGAACTCGCCAAATCTACGCCAACACCGGTCACGGTCACCATCGCCTATGCGCTACCGGTCCTCCAGCCCACGTAGACCTTCAAGGCAGCCTGGTCATCGCTCTCCAAGTCCACTCCCGGAAAACTGAAGCAAGCGACCTGTGGAGGTGAGGCCGCTGATAATGTCAGTTACGAAGATCCTCCAATATGGTTTGAGGGTGATGACGGTGTATTTCTGGTAGATGGGTGCAGCAACGAAAACGTTACTTCAGATTTGCGGTTGAGAATGGAAGGATGGGAGTTGAATGCCTTAGTCGACACCGGTGCTGATTATTCAGTGATAAGTCACAAGATGGTGAAAAAGCTAAACAAAGTTGTGACACAGTGGAGTGGATCGCAGATACGCACGGCAGGCGGTCACATTATTACGCCCCTTGGCAGATGTACTGCAAGACTTGAAATACGGGGCTTTATTTACGTGGCCGATTTCATTGTGCTGCCAGAATGTTCTAGGGAACTCATTATAGGAATGGATTTTTTGCGAGCTAATGGCACCGTAATTAACCTGCGTAGATCCAGCGTGTTGTTTTCGACTGAACGAGCTATACCTGTGGAGGAATCTGAGGAACGACGCCTAACTGCTCTACGCGTTGTTCATGATGACGTAACTGTGCCGCCACGCTGCAGTATAATGGTGCTCGTAGAAAATGACGCATTGTACAACCGCGAAGGCATAGCTGATACAAATGCATAGCGGATACAAATGATGTTCACAAAGAACTTGGCGACTTCGGCAGCTGTCGCACTGTACAGTGCGACAGCTGCCGAAGTCGCCAAGTTCTTTGTGAACAACTTAGTGCTCAGACATAATGCGCCCATCGTCGTTATTACGGATCGGGGCATTGCATTTACTGCAGACCTAATGCAATGCCTGATGCGCATGACAAATACCGATCACAGAAGAACAACGGTGTATCACCCTCAGTCAAATGGCTTAACCGAACGCCTCAACCGAACTCTGACCGACATGCTATCAATGTATGTCGATGTTGAACATCAACAGTGGGATGAAATATTACCCTACGTAACATTCGCATATAATACAGCCGTTCAAGAAACAACCCACGTTGCTCCTTTCGAACTAGTATTCGGCCGAAGAGTGACCACCCCGCTGGATGCCATGTTACCACTACAGGACGAAAGCAGCTATCCACCTGACTTGGATGACTTCTTGCAAAGAGCCGAAGAAACATGGCAAATGGCAAGATACCGAATACGCCACCAACAGCACGTCGATTCTAGTCGGTACAACAAGCGACGCAGTGACGCACTTTATCATCCCGGTGACAAAGTGTGGATATGGATACCAGTGCGCCGTCGCGGACTCTCTGAAAAGCTTCTTTGCCGATACTTTGGCCCTTATGAAGTACTCAACCGTATCAGCAACGTCACTTATGAAGTCAGAACCGCTGGACACGTGAGTTCAAGACGCCGCAATCCCACGGAAGTGGTACACGTAGTCCGCATGAAACCCTTTCATGACAGATCGTCGAAAAACGAGTGAGAGTGCGCATGTATCTTTTCACTGTCTTAAGCATCGGGACGATGCGTCTGAGGAGGGGGATAATGCCGCGACAGGTTGGCCACGTTCAAGTAGCCCGCCGCAATCATCGTGGCAAGAGCACAAGCAAGACCCGGCTGGCATGCGCCACGCGTTCGTGCGCTCGGGCAACGAAGAAGATAGTTGGATCTGTGCCACTCGGCTACTCGGACTTGACGACCGTATTCTTTAGAATTGTGGGCACAAGTTCGCCCTAATAAATACGCTTGTTTTTAACCTGTCTGCCTCAGCATCGCTACAATATCATGTGTTAAAGGGCCAGTAAATAATGTTGAGGTAAAAAAGCTTTAATGAATAAAAATATGTGTATTTTTTCTATGTGAACATGCTACGACAAGGATGTTGTTGATATGTGCTATAGTAAGGAAGTGGCAGGGGTTAGAATGTCTGTTTCAGCTGGTTGAAACTTTTGCGTGGCCTGCTGTCCTTTTTGTTCGTAAGGAAGGGGTAGGAATAGCCCTTTGTCGTGACTCTGCCCACTTCGGCAAAGAGACGTGACGTCTGAGATACGTCATCGGCATGCAGCCCATGGCCGAGTAGGGCTTCCCCCACATTAGCACATGTCATAGCGGCGTGTGTGAAGGTGGCGCAATGTGAGGAGCACCCTTCCCCTATCGATAAAGTAGCAAAATGCACCCTTTATGTCGGAGGCCTTTGTTCTG